ATTTATTTATTATTCTTCATGGAAATGAAAAACTGATTGTACTTATAATCTATAGTCATAATACAAATTGTTTATTTAACCATCCTCTAAATTAGAAAAATCAATCTTTAAATATGTAATTCACTAACATATACATATATTTTTTTATATCGAGCAAGTTTTTAAACTTCTAATCTCTTTTGTTATAAAAAGTAGCTTAGCTTCATTTTTCTCCATCGTTTGTTTTAGAATCGTGATGATCAATCAATTGTCAAAAAGTTACCATTAATTTTAAAGCTTCATTAGGAATGCACTAGATCTCTTTTTCAAAACTTTAAATTATTGTTCAATTTTTCAAGCTTTTAAATTATTAAGAAAAATAATAACTATTTAATAATATGATTGGATAAAGATTTAGAATTTTTTTTAAAGAACAACTTCCTCAATACCTACTAATTCAGTAACTAGAGTTTTACAAAAAATGCATTATTTAAAAGATTAGAATTTCAAAAAATATATATTTGGGAATACAACAACGCATCTACGGGATAAATAATTAGGTAAAATATTTATATTTTGTACTTAAAGTTTATAATATTTTGATGAAATAATCATTATACAAATTCTGATAGAAATAAATACTTATAGCCTGTTTGGCCAAGCATCTTTCTAGCCATTTTTTTTTTTTGTAAAAGCATTTTAAGTTAAGGTGTGTGGCTAACTTTTTAGAAGGAAAAAGTATTTTTGAGTAGGAGCAGAAGAATAATTTGAGAAGTAGAAAAAATAGCTTTTCCCTAAAAGTATTTTTTCGAAAAATATTTTTGAGAAAAATACACTTAAAACACTTTCTAAAAGCTTAGTCAAACACTAATTACTGCTCAAACGTGCTTTTAAAATTAATTAACCAAACACAAGTTACTTTTCACCAAAAGAACTTTTAAAAAAGTACTTTTGCGAAAAATACCTGTCAAAATAAACTGATTTTAGATGTTTGGTTAAACAAGCTATTAGTGCCATTGGTCAATTGGTAGTCCAAATTTATATTACTTGTCTTCTAAAGAGATATTAGGCGAAATACAATAACATAACATATTTATATCTCATAATATCATAAAATATTTATAGTTACAAATATTATATAACTATTCAACTAAATTCATCATCTTTGCATGTTGAGAAGATATTTAAATTTAGCTATTGTTTCAATGTATGCACCAATTTATTATTTTGTATATATTTTATAGTGATTGATGCGAAAGACACGTGCAACACACGTACACTAAAACTAGTATATATGAATATATGCGCCATGTATTCATTGGAGAGTATAAACACGAGTACGGATAAATTTCTACCTTAATCTATTGTCATTCTTTAATTTAGTTAGTAGCAAGTTGCTTTCTTTTTTTATTTCATTAGCTTAAGTTAGGCAACACTAACGCGAGACCTCGAGAGAAAAGAGAGATGAAAAGCTCACAGATAAAAGCTTGATTTTTAATTTACGGAAATTAAAAAGTATTTTCCCTCAGAAACTATCAGAAAATTTCAAAGGTGACCCTTTTTGGCATTTCAAAAATTTGAGACCAAGGATTTTGAACTCAATTCTATTCTTTGAGTTACATGTAATTTTTATTTTATAAAAAATGTGACTTATGCCAAACCATCATTTTTTTGTTTAAGGGATGATTATAATAGCATCTAAGCTAAAATAGGTACATCATCAGGGGGGGTATATAGTATCCCCAAGGTTTTGTTCCATAGCGTTACTATTACATTCCAAAATGTTTCTTGGAAAAACAGTTCCTAGAATGTCTGCCCCAAAAAGCTTTATTTACAAACACCAGAGCAACTGCCAGCATAGTTGTTTTCTCAAAAAATTCCTTTTTAGCTCCTTCCTTTGCCAGTAGATCAGCTCCCATATGTTTCTCCATGTAGCTGTGCTTCACTACTGTTCCTCCCATAATTTGGATCAATGACCTGCATTCAGAGATAATAGAGTCATAAATATAATTACTCGTTTTAAGCATTCTTATTACCTCTGTGGAGTCAATGTTTATTTCTAGTAGTGTAAAGCCTCTTTGCTCTGCAATTTGCAGTCCGTGTAATAGCAAGAAGCTCAACTTGGGTATTAGTAGTGTGTGGTAGGCTTCTCATATAGCCTAGAATCCAATTGCCACTGGAGGTTCTGAAGACACCTCCTACCCCTCATTTTACTGGGTTTCCTAGTGCAGCCCCATCAATGTTGAGTTTGTAGTGGGGGAGGGGGGAGGGGGGAGGATAGCATAGAATTCTGTGGCCTTTGCTCTGACATTAAAGACTGAGACCTAGCCTATTTTATTTTGAAAGATTGTGATTCCTGGTTAACCATATGCCAGAGGCAGAATGGGAAAATGGCTTCCCAAGACAAGTTAGTGTTGGAGGCTCTCTTCCTGAGGTTGGTCCAAGTGTTTGACCAAGAAAGACTTGTGAGAGTGTGGTTGTGTTGTGGGTTTATGGTAGTGCTTTTGGTAGTGAGGTTGCCAGAATAGAGCATTCAAAGAATATGTGCGGGGTTTTTTTAGTCATAGATGAGCAAAAACATCATAATGGGTTACAATTGACACAATCTTTCTGAAGAAAAGCACCTGTAGGAAGCCTTCCATGATACAGAAGCCACAAAAAGATCTTAATCTTGTTAGAATCTTTGAGTTTCCTGATCCAGTTGTAACTAGTGTTATCCCTATCTGTTGTGTGGATTGTTTTTGTGGTGAGGAAAGTATAGACTGATTTAGTGCTGAAGAGGCCATTGATTATTAGGCCCCGGACCATCTTGTCTTCCTTGATGCAGTTGCAGGGAATGAAGGTGGATGAAATCAGATTTCTGATTTCGGCAGGGATATGAAAAGAGATGGAGGAGGTATTGCATTCACCATTGTTGTAGGTGGTGACCACTTTGGTAGTTTGGTCGTTTAAGGTGAGTGTCCCCCCACCCAATAATGCTCCTAATGGAAGTATTATTGGGATCTAGGAATCATTGAGGAAACTAACTTTCTCACCTTTATTGACAACCCACATGGCCGCATGGTTGCAAGTATCCCAACCCTTGAGGATAAATTGCCATATAGTAGATTTGGCCTTTTTTGGGATGTGGCTCCAATTGCAATATTTTGCAATTAGAGTTTTTGCCCAGAGGGAGGATGGATTGTGGAAGAGCCTCCATGCTAAGCCAACATGAATAGCTCTGTTTTTATTACAGCTTTTTGTAGCCTTAGACCTACTCTTAGACTTGGTGACACTGTCCCAACCTATAAGGTGCATCTTATTTTTGATAGGGTGGTGCCCCAAATTTTCTTTGAATTTAATCAAACCATCATAGGTCACAAGGCAAATAGCTAAAAACGGTGCATTATTATTATTACACATACCGCCAAAATAAGGCAAAAGCAAAGAAAAAGAACAACAAATACTGACCATTTAATTATTATGGCTGATAGAGTGTATATATGTTGTGAAATTAAGCAAATATCCTTTTTCTTTTTTGTTGTTGTTTTGGCTGATCGCATACAATTGTTGAAACTATTAGAGCATGTTTGGAAAGCCACTTTGGAAACAGATTTGGGTGTAATTACACAATTTCGGCATATTTGTTTGGCCAAGTAATTACTTGGTCAGCATGGAATTGGGTGTAATTGGAGGGGTGTAATTACACTCTCCAATTCTCAAGGGGGAGGTGAGAATTGGTGGTAATTATACTGTGTAATTACAAGGTTATTTTTTAGTTTCTTTTCTTTTTCTTTTTATTTTAATTTATTTTCTTTATAACTTTTATTTCTATTATTTTAATTTTTTAATTTTATTTTTACTTTTTAATTTCTTTTGAAACTTAAAAATATATTTTTCTTTGAAAATTATTTATCTTTTATTTCTCTATCTTTACTTCTTGTGATTCCATGTAATTGCTTATATTTTATTTATTATTTATTTTATTATTTTATTTTTGAAACTACACCTCCTAATATTAGAAATAAGGAGTCATCAACAAATTTGACATATAATGAGTAATGCAATTAAAGTGGAATTTCGTTGTTGAATGTGGTTATAAACTTATCATGTTTCCTAATCTTAAGTTGCTGTGGAACTTACTATTATTATGTTGGAATTTGACACATGTTAAACTTTTTTTTTTGAATTTTAAAATCGTGTTATATTCATGGTTCCAATTTACTTGTTTTAGTAGTATTGACTCACATTGCATGTTGTTCTTTTTTTATAGTTAGAATTGATGGATTAGTTTTGTGAAACATTTGAATAATGTTATGACATTATATTTATAAATATTAACTTATTTTATCAAACATGAATTCTATGATGTCTTACAAAACGTATATTTTTAATTTTTGTAAGTATCTAAACTAAATATTACTCCCTCCGGTCCAAAATAAGTGATTTTTTGACCTTTTTCTTGTGGTCCAAAATAAGTGATTTTTCCAGATTTCAAGAATGAAATAATTATTTTTTTCCTACATTGTCCTTGAAGTAAATGGTGTTGGAATATGTGTTAGGAGTGTTTATGTGAGATAGTAAAGGTTAATATGGTCAATTCCATTGCTAATTAATGCTAAAAGGTGAATTTCTTAATTTGTGTGAAAACATCCAAAAAATCACTTATTTTGGACCGGAGGGAGTATTAATTTTTCAAAATATATAAATTATTTTTACAATATTAGTTATAAATATATGATTACTAATTAATGTATATTCACTAAAAAATATACATCTTAAATACTAAATATAATATCATTTATACTTATAAAAATTTATAAGCATATATTTATTATATTAAATTTTAAGTTTTGATAATTACTTAATTTAAAATTTAATCTAACTATGTAATTACACTTGTGCAATACAACTGTATAATTACTAGACTGTGTAATTAATACCCTAATATTACACCAATTACAGGGCGACTTTCGAAACATACTCTTAATAAATCTTTAATTATTTCTTCAAAAAGTTTATATTTTGCAAGAAATTAGTATTTTTTTCCAGACAAAGATTTCCATTTGTAGCAAGCAAACACATCCTCCTGAGCCGATCTGATTTGAGCCGCTAACTTTTGGCAGTTTCCCTTGAAATATCTGCAAAGTGCAAACGGTTACTTGCTGCCACGTTTATTACAGGAAACAGCTTGAAGTGAAGAGTAGAGTAATAATTGAGTAGTAAAACGCTAACAGTTGAGGAGAGCAGAAAATGGGCAACTCTCAATCGTCTTCCACGAATCCGCGATTTGCTTTAGCAAAGAGGTGGCAGTTTCTCTATAACACTACAATTGGTTACCATTTTTGATCAATTTAAACTCTAAACGGATTTGATATTCTTTTGTAGAGCGTTCACCGAGAAGAAACTGGAAGACCTGAAATCGATGTTCGATTCACTAGCTGCACAATCTCAAAGCAATGGAAATTACATTTCTCCTTCTGTTTTCAAGGTGCTTCCTGTCAATTTTATGTGTCGTCTGTTAAATCTTTCAGTTTCTTTACAATTAAATCATGAATTGGGTATTTATGCTTGTATAGGGTTATATTGGAGTTGAAGGGCCGTTGGGTGATAGAATGTTCGATTTGGTCACTCAGAAACGTAAGGATCAAAAACTTACATTTGAAGACCTTGTGATTGCTAAAGTGAGTATTTTTCATCTTATCCTTTTTTCTTATTGCTTTTATGTGATACAAGTTTCTTTTTAGTTTGTCCTAACTTTACCCTTCATGCCATGACTTATTTGTACCTACTTGATATAAAATTCATTCTTTTACTAGGAGAGAGAAAAGGAAAAAGGCAGGCACCATATGAAAAGAACACATTTTCCTTCATATATCCATGACTTTTCGAGTACGAGATTAAGTGTATGATATGATCCACTTCATTATTGTAACATGTCACGGTTGTTGTAATAATAGGATGAACGACTTTCATAATTTGCCCTTCACTGTGAAAGAATTACAACATATTGGACATTATTGATTAATAATAACCTCAACGTTGTTACATCGTAATGGAAAAAAGTACATCTACAATATGAAAACTACATACGAATTTTTTCACATACGCTCGCAGAGTATATCTAGTTCCATGTCCTGATGAAAAAGAGGGTTAGTTTGATGATCAGAGTAACAAATTATCAAATGCGATGAATCCTTTATCATCATGGTAATGTTCTCTCCTTAGCACACACTACATTGGCATTAAGGAGTATAAGCAAGAATTTTCATATCATGCACGGGTGTGAGTAAAGAAATTAGTTCCATCATAATGCGTGGATATGATGCTAGATAAGAAAGGATTCCCCATCATACTGGATGAATAGATAATATATGTTAGTCCAAGATAGTCAATTTCAAATTGGTAGTGGTATATGGCTAATTGACATGGAAGTCAAAGAATCTTTTTTGTTAGGTACGTTGAAGGAAATAAAATTAATGAGAAGTAAATGAAATTAATGTCTACCTTAAAGAGGAGAAGAACTAATATTGCGTGTCTATAAGAGACATGGTCTGAAGGAAGAACATTAGAGAGATTGACCAACAAGCTATAAGTTGTTGTATTGTGGCTTGTGGGATTGATAAAAGTAGGCACGCGATGGCAATAATGTTGAACTGGGACCTAAAATAAAGTTTTAGAAGTAAAGAGAGTTGGTGGTTGGTTTATCTTGTTATGATTAGCGAGGGAAAGAAAACAAAAATGTCATTAGTGCATAGGCTTCACAAATAGAATTTAAATGAGAAAACTAAAACTAAGGACCCGTTTGGCCATAGATTTTGCCAAAATATATTTGATTTTTTTGGCAAATACATGTTTGGCCATAGATTTTATCTACATTTTGGCACATTCCTAAAACCCAAAACCCAAAACCAGCTCACTATTGCATTTTTTAAAAATTGCCCCAAACTTTTGTATTTTATAAAAGAGCCCACCATTTATTATTTTGTAACAATGCTGCTTCGTCTTCTCGGTCATTTGATAATTTTATGTAGTTCATTATAAAAATGATAACTTTGTACCAAATTTATTTATGTCCAGGACTATGGTTTGCGACAATATAATGAATTATTGATAAAGGTGTTGTTGGGTATTTGTGATAGTTTTTAGAACTTGTGGGTATAAGTCATGTTTCATGTTTTTTCCAAAAAAAAGTGAAATATATTTTGAAAACTTATGTCCAAACACATTTTCATCTTCAAACCAAACTTCACCTAAATCAGATTTTCCAAAACAAATTTGGGAATCTATGGCCAAACGCTAGCTAAATTTTGAGAAGATATGGATCCGTTGGTACAAGGAATTCTAGGTGACTGACAAATGTTTATCAGAGGAGATTGGAATGGATATGTGGGTAGATATGTGACAAGGCTTGCCGAGTGCATAACAAGTATTATGGTACAGGCGATGGAGAAGGAAAGCTTTTAGAGTTTGCGTTAGCTTATTATCCAGTTTTAGGCTTTTAGTAATTTAAGGAAAGAGAGAAGAACAATTGATATTGAAGAGGAGGCAACCATAGCCAAATAAACTTTATTCTTACTAAAAGAAGCGACAATCCATGTTTAAGCACGGCAAGGTTATCTTATAAATAAATAAAGAAGGACGGCAAGGTTATACCTTGAGAACACCTAAACCATCCAAAATAGTCCGGTGATCCTGCATATAAAAAAAAAGAATGGAGCAACGAAGGAGAAGAGTAATTTGGAACCAGATTTTAATGATGAGCACTAGAAGACTCAAAACCACAAAATATTCAAGAACAAACTATTGGAAGATGGAGAATGGGACTTAAAAGTTGAAGCAATACCTACAGAAGGAACTGCAAGGTACATGTTTACTGCATTTGAGCGCAAATTCCATTTTTATTAAGACTGCATTCCAAGCTAGCTCGGATATAAGCCCCAAAAAAATGCAAAATCATAAACAGGGAAGAGATGTAGAGACTGTCTCCATGAATGAAGTGCCATAGGCAGCTCTAACTGCAGTCCCTATACTCAGGGTAGTTTTTGCTGAAGCATGATTTACCTACGTTGGTAGGATGCACTGGATAAGCTTAATGGCTGAGCTAATTTAGGGCCGAGCTAAATGGGATGAGATGTTTTAGCACAAGACTTAAGACTTAATCAACTTCCAGTGTTTCTGCTTTCTTGTGTCCGTCATACCCCTAAAACGACCAGAATAACCCTCTACAGTGTTATCTTTTACTTCTAAAATTTGAGGTCTCTCTAGAATTTCACGCCTTCTCCTTGTGTGCCATTTCAAGTTTTCTACCAGCATATTGATGTTCTCTTCCTGGACATCTAGAGTGAAGAACATAGATGTAGAGAACGGTCTTATATTTGCAAACTGTAATTCATTCAGATAACCATTACCCTTTAATCCTTTACTGCATAAGTGTGGACATGTATCTGTCTATCAGTGAAGTGAGGATCATTCCTGAAGCTTCTATTGCGAGTAAAAAATGAAAAATATGAACTCATGACGTATGGTTCCACTTTTTATATTGCAGGGAACCTATGAAAAAGGGACAAACAACGATATTGAAGAGTTTATCTATCAGTTGTTAGATGTCTTTGATGATGGCATTGTTGGAAGGTAGAACAATAAGCCTTGATATGTTTAAGGGCTATATATAGTTTGGTTCTCCAGATACTGTCTTTTACATGTAAGTATGCTCAACTTTCTAAATGTATTTAAAAAAAGGCAGCCAGGTGCACAAAGCATCCCACATTCACGCAGGTCCGGAGAAGGGTCGCACCCCAAGGGGTGTTATGTAGACATCCTACCCTAATGCAAGCATTAGTGGCTGCTTCCACGGCTTGAACTCGTGATCAATAGGTCACAGAGACAACTTTACCGTTGCTCGGCTCTCCTTCTAAATGTATTAAATACCTCTAAATTCACAAGTCAAAAAAAGTCCAAACTAACTTTATAATGGAACAGACAATTCTACCAGCTCAACAACAACAACAACGACCCAGTGGGATCCCACAAGTGGGGTCTGGGGAGGGTAATGTGTACACAAACCTTACCCCTACCCTGGGGGGCAGAGAGGCTGTTTCCGAAAGACCTTCGGCTCGAGAGGAAGAATAGGAACAAGTAAATAATAACAACAAGGCCAGGAAAATGATACCAGCAATGTAAGAACCGGAGAAAAACAAATGGAAGAAAGCAGTAGCAATAGCATCAAGCAGTAACACGACAGGGTACTAGAAAACCGAAGCGGAAGATAGTACTAAAACAACCCTGATACTAGCACTCTAAGGATCGAAGAAATGTACTAGTCAGCTAGCCCTAATAAACCTGGAACAGATCAGAAAACAGATTACAGCCTATTACCCTTCTACTCGAATCTTCGACCTCCATGCCCTCATGTCGAGGGCCATGTCCTTGGTAAGCTGAAGTCGCGCCATGTCCTGCCTGATCACCTCTCCCAATGCTTCTTAGGCTGACCTCTCCCAATGCTCCTACCGGCCAGCGCCAACCATTCACACCTCCTCACTGGGGCATCTAGGCTTCTCCTTTTCACTCCCGAACCATCCAAGCTTCGCTTCACGCCATAGGGGCCACACCCATTTTCTCCCAAATATCCTCATTCCTAATCTTATCCAATCTGGTGTGCCCACACATCCATCGCAACATCCTCATTTCAGCTACGTTCATCTTCTGGATATGGGAGTTCTTGACTGGCCAGCATTCTGTATGGAGCATTCTGCCCCATATAGTATAGTCGGTCTAACCATCGCCTTGTAGAACTGACCTTTAAGTTTTGGTGGCATATTCTTGTCACACAGGACGCCAGATGCTAGCCTCCATTTTATCCACTCCGCCCCTATACGGTGTGACATTCTCGTCAATCTCCCCGTCCCTTTGGATAACTGACCCGAGATACTTGAAACTTCCTTTCATGGGGATGACTTGTGAGTCAAGCCTCACTTCTATATCTACTCCCCCTGTCGCTTCGCTAAACTTGCATTCTAGGTACTCCGTCTTAGTCCTGCTCAACTTGAAACCCTTAGACTCTAAGGTTTGTCTCCAAACCTCCACTTTTCATTGACACCGCCTCGCGTCTCATCAATCAGTACTATGTCGAAAACAAAGGGCAAAGGTTCTCACTGTAGTTTGGTTGAAGGCATAGAGTGCTGGCAAGTGTGGTGTGGGGATCAGGTCTTCGTTAAAATGGCGGGCTAGAGATCTTTGAAGATGTATGTGCTAAACTACAATTATTTTTAGTGAGAATGCTCTTCTAAAAATACTAGGACTAAGGTGGTACACTAGCCATTAATTTGGATTAAAAATCAACTTTTGCTTTGCCTCATAGGACTAAGGTGGTACTCTATTTTAGATGCAATTAACACTTTATCTTTTGTTTTCCAATTTATGTTCTAACCCCTTTTTACAGAAAAATAACTGCTTAGTGCAGTTGAGATAATTTGTGCTCCGTTTTGGCACATTTGAGGCAGTTCTTTTTCCTTCCACCACTAGGAGGGCCTGGGATTAATTATACACTCGTTTTAATTTTGGCCTTGTTTATGTTGAATTGAGTTGTGGTATTCTCTCTATAAATATTATTCTTAGTTTTATATTATTTTAATAATTATTTTCAATTAAGGTGTTCTAGTTTTAACATTGATTCGAAAGCTGCTATTTGACATCTCACTATCTCTTGGACTACTTTTGAATGATAATTATGAGAAGATGATCATTATCAAGATGCTAAAGTTACAGAGAGGAGAGGTCTTAATAAAAGAATTATTGATCAGAATTCCTAAATATGTTGTCAGTGAAGACCGGGCAAATGTTAAATAGAACTAGCAAGCAAAATGAAAATCTCAAAAAAGGTTATGATGCAAGCCTCTTGAGGAAATTGGGATTTCGGGCTTGCATTTGATTATTAAAAACTAATGGGAGAGTTGGTATCACCACTATCATTTGTATCTATCTTACATAATTTACTTGACCCAACATGTAGGTCCCACTCATCTTATGCTACACGCAACTTCTTTTTCTTCCGTTATCTTGGTTTATGCAAAGTTCTCCATAATCAACAAATTATCAGACTTTGTAAAAAAGTTTCTTCTAGTCATTCTCGGCCATCCCGTTTCTTTTCCTGCAGTAATCATAGTGTTATCACTCTTTTCAATAGGTGCATACTATACCTCTTTTGTATAGCCTCCGACTCCCCCTGGGTATTCCTCTTCTGTAAGCTTCTCAATGATTGATGCTCCCACCCGCTTTCATGGGCTGTCTTTTGCTGGTAGTTCTCCCTAAAATGATGCCAGCAAAGAATTACAACTGAACGTCTTTTGCAAACTTTAACTATTTTGCCTTGAAATCCTTGTGAAGCACTTGATACAAACTTAACCATCAGTTGCGGAGTCAAGTGGATGCTGGTTGTCCTTGATATTGCTACCTTTCCTCTGTAATAATCAAGTATAATAATTACAAGAAGAGAGGACAGGCAGAGCATTACACTCCGTGAAATAGATGCTAATATTTAAGTTCAGAATGAGGCAACCATGCTGCACCTGTGTTTGGCTGGATGGGATCGTAATGTTTATTCACCAGACTCGAATATCTGGGGTTGGACCCTTTTCGTTAAAAATTATCCCTACTTTTTTGAGGTGGAAGTGATATAGCATTTTATTTCTGAAGAATGGATCTCCATTGAGAAAAACAAAGATAGATAACATAAACTTGTGGTGTTTATTGATAAACATTAAGTAGCATGTACATACAGTTGTTGAATCAAATGGGGTTGACCATAACTTTGCCCCTTTGTGGAATTTCCAATACTCTCTTTCTGCAAAATACTATTCTATAATGGAAGAGAAATGGTTTCTTCTTTGATTGCTTTCTATGACCTAGAAGCCCTCCTTGTAATTGGAAAGAGCATATCATCGGTCACTAGATGATGGATTGTTTCCTTTATTTCAATAGTTGTTGTCAGATGAGGTTCATTCTTTCCAGAATCTCTTTTTTCCTTATATGGAACAGATATATGTCGAATGAGAAGTTTTTCCTTCAGTTTATGAGTTTGACTACCTTAATATGGATGTCAAATAGTTTCATTGCGGCTCTAGTAAAATAACCCCTTCCTAGTCCGGTTTTAAACATTTAACTTTTAATTATCATTATATATAGTTCTAGATCCTCTTCTTTTTCTTTCTTTTTTCTTTATATAGATATCTGTACTATTGAACACCAAAAAGAGAAAGATAAAAGAAAATCCAGCAGTATTGTTCTCCTTTATGGTGGTAAATACATCTCTGGGATCAATTTGCAGATCTGATCTTGAAGCTGTCTTGACTGCAGTACTCAGAAATATATCTTCTCATGAGAACCATCCATCTGAACCTAGTTCAGAGAGGGAAGTTCTTGATATTTTCCTCAATGCCGCAAATTTAACAACGGATGATAAACAATGCGCTGAAAGTTATATTTCTTTTGAGGAATTTAGAAGTTGGTGTGCCCGTCTTCCATCAGTAAGGAAGTTTCTTGGAAGTCTGTTGTCTCCACGTGATTCAGGTTTCTGCTTTACAGTCATCTGAGTTTTTCTAATTTTGTAGTTCCTCATTTTTTCTTGTTATTTGCAGTTTCTCTAAGAGGCATATGTTTCTACATATTGGACACTGCTTACTGAGTGAATTTCTGTGGGCTTAGATGTTAGCTTTTCTATTTAGTTTCCACTTCTTCTATATTCTTGGAAACTTCTATGATAACTATGCATACTGGCCTTTGCATGTAATAGACATTATTTGTGTTTTCTCTGAAACTTATATGTTATTATGCATTATTCTGGAGTTCTGTTAAATATGCTGAGTCCTGCAACTGGTGTAGTTGCTGTTATGGGGATTCTCAAAACAGTTTAGCTTTTCAGTCTGCCACATTTGTATGATAGGAATAGGATTCGATCTTGGAAATGAGGGAGATACACGAGGGTGGTAGGATGCTTTGTGGCTATCATGGTCAATGAAATAAGGAATTGGGTAATGCTTGTTTGGATGTAATTTTCTTACTCTCAGAAAAATTGTTTCCTTTTAGGAAGTGGTGTTAAGATTATTCCTAGAGCAGAGTCAAGGACAAGTAAATCGCCATGCTTCCCTAAGCTTGTGAAGGAGTCCTCAAACCCTCTAATAGGGTTCTCGCATGTTCACAAAGGGTTTGATCTAACAGGGCCCTTACCTTTTCACAGAATAGAATGCTATAGTATTTTTGAGGGTTGTGCAAGTTATGTTGCCACTATGCTTACTGTTGTTGAAGAAAGTGAAATTTGATAGTATAGGTTAACCATATACAGCTTTACAATATCAGTTTGATGCCTTATACATAGATTTAAAGCCTGCATTGCAAAGTTAAGGGAGGAGGACGTATCCAGTCAGAACCATTTTCTTGCATGTTGTCGTGTTATCTTTTTTCCCCTTATAAAGTACTTTGTCGTGTTTCCTTTTACTATGTGTATGTGAGTTTTGCAAAGCATAGCCGCTCTTAAATCCGGATGAAGGAGGTTGCAGTAGGCTGGCTGCCAATGTGAAAATAGTCTGTAACTATGTTGAATCCTCTGAAAATTTGGATATAGAGGAAGCAAGGATGCTAGTATGGAGTCAGCTGGTTAAATTTTTTATCACATAGTTTTTCTCAAGCTGAAATTGAAAAATCTTCAATCATGTAATGAAAGATTAAGTTTCAGTTGGAACAAACTTTTTCATCATGTATCTCACTGATAGTTTAATGATACTCTGCCTATTTTGAATATTGCTGCTTCCTCACACATACAGGATGCTAATGTGGCACAGATATACAACCCTCCCCCCCCCTCCCCCCCCCCCCTTCCCCGCACCATCTGTGAAATCACATTATTTTCTCAAACTTAAGTTGAAAAATCTTCATTCATGAAATGAAAGAGCAATTTTAGTTTGAGGATTTTCTTCGTCATATAACTCTTCTTGCTTGTTTTATGCAGCTCCCCAGTACAATAGGTATAAACTTAATTCTTTACTTATAACAACTCTTAGAATATTGTCAGTTACATATCAGTTTGTGTATGGAAATCTGGTTGTTTGTATTCATACCCCCCCCCCCCCC